TCTCTTGCTTTTGTATTCCCCTCACAACATTTTACTCAACTCATACTACCTTGTCTATCTTGCTACAACCTTATTCTCTTCTTCCTTGTCCTCTGTTTCCTTGACTCCCTAAAATACTGTATAAATACTCAAGTGCTTGTACAGTGCAATGCAGAACAGTTTTACCGTTTCTCCCACGTCGCTCTCGCTCTCGTCTCGCTCTCGCTCTCGTCTCGCTCTCGCTCTCGTCTCGCTCTCGCTCTCGTCTCGCTCTCGCCAACGTCTTCGTTCCGCATCGCTCTCGTACTCGCTCACCATCTCCCCCGCATCTAAACCGCCAGTTGCTGCATCGGCAATCCCGGCATCGTTGAACACACCTCGCACACTTATCTCCTTCCACCCTCCTTGTGTAACACTCACCTCTTTTGGTTCAGCTCGCGCTTGGCAGGTTGGTTGGCGTGTCAACGTCGGTGTTGAAGCTCAACTCAACATACACATTCGCCCCGAATGTATCTTCTACAATTCTTTCCCCACATTTGCGAAGTTGAACCACTTCAACCACCGCTCGATCCTGTAAATTCGACTCAACTCGGGTCAGTCTTCATTCCTCCGTGTTTTGAGGGGAAGTGTGGAGATGAAGGCCGCGCACGGCAGGAGACGGACTCCACTAACCTCGGTGAGCTGTTTCGATACCGTTATGGAGCCAAATGCATCCCTCTAGCTAAAGGGACTTTTAAACTCGTTCCAGTCGGGCTGCTTGGTTCCAGATTTCCTAAATTCAACACAGACATACACATGAGTGAGTCCCCCGCCGCGCTGGATCTCATGTGTATTCCACCAAACAAGCAACCAAGCACGCAAGTCAAGCGAAGTACGTATACGCAGATTCGTTCACTGGTTGTGAGTCCGTTGGAAGGCGTTCTGAATTGAACTTGGGACTTTCGGGAGCGTCGTGGGTGCCGGTGGGTGCCGGTGGGTGCATTCTGCGGGGTGCAATAATTCGATTAAAGTCGGAGTTCGGAGGCGGTTGGAGTCGAAGGGTAAATTCCGCCGGTGAGTAGCTTCGTTGACCCAGAGGGAAACAGCCTGAGGACGCGTGGTCATGAGTCTTCGAGTTGGTCGGGTTGAACCTCGATCATAACCTGCCGCAACTTGAATTATAATAACATATGGGCAACTGGTGCCCAGAAAATTCTAGTTGAAGACCACACCCCGCCCGGAATTATCAGCAACTCGAATACCCCACTCGCACTGCACCGCGTACGCTTCATTTATTTCATCCCTTCCCTTCCGTTCCCAACTCCGTCCGTAAGCTTCCTCCCTTCCAACTTTCAATTTGCCTTCCAACTCACCGCGTCAGCTCGATCGCCTCCCTGCATCCCATCGCGTTCTGGTTCTCGTCCTCGTTCAAATAATTCACTTACCTCGCTCGGCTCGACGTGGGGATAGAGTCGACGCGAACGGGGGTTGGGTTGAATTTGAGAGCTGCGGGTGAAAGGGTATGAAGTAATCGCGTCCGCTTCTCAAGCCCTAACCCACAGCCCTACTTCCAGCCTCGCGCTCCGCCCACCCTTCTGAAATTAAAATAGACCTCAACTCGGACTGGGTGAACTCGGGTTTGGGTCCAGTTCCACCGCGGGTCGAGCAAGCCCATCGCACCGTTCTCACAGGGAGGAGGAAGGAGGGACGAACCCCAGTGAGGACGAAGAAAAATTCGCGCTGGTTTTCGTTTACATTGATCTTCGTTGGTTTTGTGTAGACTCGGAAGCGGGGGAGAAGGTAAAAACGAGGATCTATTCAATTGAATCTGCACCAAGAAAAAGCAGCAGTTGCATGCACGTTCTATGTATGCAGTATGGATTGGGCTGCTGACCTTGAAGAGCTGGGTAGGAATTCTGCGCAGGGAAAAAAGAACAATGAGCAAACAAAAGCAGCAAGTACGAGCAGGCGGGGGACGTACACGCGTACGCGTATCACCGCAGTTATATGGGTTTGGGACTGGGATCGGGATTGAGTTGCGGCAGATGCGGATGTGTTGATGCCGAGTAGGGTAATTGCAAGGGAGGTTAGAGAACTAACAAGCGCGCGGGGTTTAGGACGTTGAAAAACCCGTGCACATGTTTGAACTTGAGAAACGAAACACGTCTGTGTGATTGAGCGTGATGGGAGCGAGTGAACGCCAGGAGGTGTCACGGCGGAAAACGCGAGCGGCAGGCGACGTATAGTATAATATATATCGGGACGGAACGCGGAAGGCCGAGGAGGTGCGGTTGGGATTTTGGGAAGGGAGGGAGGCCGAGGGTTTGTGGGGAAAGCAAAAGAGGGCGGTGGGCGGTTTGTTTTGCAACCGGATGCGGATGTAGGTCGGCGGGAGGAAGGCGAGTGGGCGAGTACGAGACGTGTAGGACGGGAGGCGTGCGCGAGAGGGAGGGAGGAAGGGAGGGAGGAAGGCCTTAAGGAACGTCAAAGACGGCGGCGGCGGCGCTTGTGCTTTAGTTCGTTTGTGCTGCACTTGAGTTCGTGATGCGGAGTCGCGGACGCGCGGGCACGGCGGGAGAGGGGAAATTCATCATCGCGGCGGAGACAGAGTCATGGCGCGAGGATGGGATAGTATACGCGGTTGGGGGGGTGAGCGTACACTGCGGGAAGCCTTTCTGCACCTGCAAAAGAATTCGAGGGAGGAAGAAGGCGGTCTTGCGACAGGATGTCGCAGGATGGATGTGATTGGGTCTTGGAGTGGATTAGACGCGGAGAGACGAAGTGTTATCATGATTACAGCAGCATGGCAAACGAGGGGAAATTGGGCGACACATGAATTGCCGTACGTGCCAGGGCAGATAGGTTGACGCGGGGGTGAGAGCAGCTTGATGCCCGATGCGTTGCTCAGTCGCGGGCGGGCGGATTGCACGGTAGCGTTCTGCGGGCCAGCACGAGTACTTAAGTCGGGTCAGTCGTGTCGAGTTGAGGATGGGCGCGAAGACCGTGTTCGAGTGAGCACCAGGAGCGAAAGGGCGTGGAGCTGAACAGTGTCGAGTCAGGTCGAGTCGGCTACAAACGATGACGCGGGAAGAGGGATGCGTGGGAAGACCGTCACGTCACTCCTTCTCCTTTCTCTTCTGCTTTGTTCCAAGGGGGTACCGGCATTCCAAAAATATATATAGGGCCGTTTTTCTTTTTTCCGACTCGACCGCTGGACTAACTAACTAACGTAATGTTCCCACGCACCATATATGGTAATTTGTTACGTGTTCAAGTTGCCGGTGAGCTGGAAAATCAATACAGACCATCCATATCGAGCTCTTTTCGATGTATGATAGCAATTGCGGTATACAACCCTCCAAAACAACCTCCCAAGACAAGTTTTGATCTTCCGAGAATTATCATCTCTCTTACCATATATGGACTTTAACTCAGGCAACAGGTACAGATGAGTAAACAGGGCAGTTTGAAGGCATACAACACTGAGAGACTAAAATAAACTGCCCCAGGGCCGGTCAAACAGCATTTCCCGGCCAAAAAGTGGTGGTTGATTTTTTTTTTTCCCGGCCTGACGGCCGGACTAACTAACCAGCCCTTAGTCGCCGGTTTGAATGCCGGTACCCCCTTGCTTTGTTCTGCTGTTCTGCTTTCAACGATTTCCCTTTCAATTCAATCGATGCTAATTATAGGAAAGATGTCAATTGGCGTTCGTAGTCCCCCGCAACTTCCGCCTCCTCGAAGAGCTCGAAAAGGGCGAAAAAGGCATCGGCGACGGCTCCTGCTCCTACGGCCTCGAAGACTCGGACGACATCATGATGAGCAACTGGAACGGCACCATTATCGGCCCTGGGCATACCGTGCACGAGAATCGTATCTACAGCCTCAAGATTACCTGCTCCGAGAGGTATCCCGATGCTGCGCCGGCGGTGCAGGTGCGCGTCTTGCTTGGGTGCTGCGCAGCTAACTAAGACAACGCGCAGTTCCTCTCCCGCGTAAACCTCCCCTTCGTCTCCGCCACAACCGGCACCGTCGACCCCGCCCGCCTCCCCGTCCTCGCCTCCTGGACGCGCGCGAGCAGCTTGGAGCACGTGTTGGTCGAGATACGGAAGTGGGTTCTTCCTTCCATCCTCTTATTCGCTCCCTTTCTTTTCCCTGCGCTTTTCTTATCCTACCCTTCCGTGGGACGACGCACTTGCCGCTTGCCGCTGTCCCTTCTATGCCTTCCCTTATTTCTTCTGCTTTCCACTGTTCCCCTTTCCGCGCGCGCACGTGCTTCCCGCGTTTTGTTTACTGCTTTCGATCGCGTTCTTGCTTGCCCGTCCTCGTTCTCCTCGTTCTCCTCCCCTTCACACGCACACACTAACACACACCCACAGAGAAATGGCCTCCCCCGCAAACCGCAAGCTTCCCCAGCCGCCCGAGGGCAGCATGTTTTGATGCGTTGTACTCCATCTATCTGGATTGTACTGTAGGGATGTAGGCGAGGGTGGGCAAGGAGAGAGGGTGTACGATAAATAGAACCGCGAATCTGAATCTCAATGAATGTTAACTAAATTTCCCGCACTTTGCCTGCTGATTATCAGTTTGTATCTCCATGCACGACAAAAAGGAATTGAACCATACATTGTGCACAATCTTTGTACCGGGTACCGCGCGCGAAGAGAAGATGATATTCTCGAAAACAAAAGTAGGAACATTACTTTGGGTACATACGAGAGAGAAACGCAAAAAAAATCAAGGCGGATGCCCGCGGTGGGAGTCGAACATCTTCCCCATAATTTTCTGGAACCAACCTCAGGATAAGAGGAGGCTCTGGCCGTTGAGCTACGAGGGCATGTGCCTTCGTCGTACCTATTCCAATAGAACACACACAGCTCACTACGAACCTCGATATTTTTCTTGGACACAACGCTGCGGAAAGCCAGGGCGATATATATATATATATACCAAGCCTAAGGTGAGATGCGATAATAAGTATATATATAAATACGTAGAAAAATTAGGAAAGGAAAACGAACAAAAAAGGAGATAATGAAAGGTCACGCCCTCGACGGGAGTCGAACCGACGGCTCCCTCTTAAAATTTTGAACCAGCTATGATGACAGGAAGCTCTGGCAGTTAAGCTACAAAGGCATCAGGACATGTCTCCCATTTAGGTAGGTGGTGTACAGTACCACTGGTCTGGCGGTCGGAATGTACAAATTGAGGTGAATTTTGGTACATGGATGGAAAGATTTATAGTGAGTTGTGTTTCAGGGGAGAAATAGGTGTGAAACTTGTGTGAAACAAACAGCATTCTCCCTCTTTACAAAATTATGTGCATGCCTGTGCGAGGCCTTTTACGCTCCGCTGATGGTATGTATCATGTGTTGCGGCAGCACCACACCAAAGACATTTCGGCTTCGTAATACCCGAGCATGCCGAGATTTGCCGAGATTTGCCTTACACATGAAACTTAACAGCCTTGTTTCAACTTTCGGGTCTCAACAGTTTGTACAGCTTCTTCCAGATTAATATCATCCTGATTCCTTTGAATTAGAACCGAAGCAGTGAGGTGCAGAGCGCCCTGCGGTGCTCTTATTTTCAGTGAATTAACTGCGTGAAGAACTGGAACTGTTCAACCAGTGTGATGAGCATCATAAGAAGGGTGAGGTAAAAACCTAAGTTGAGGTCAGTCATCATAGAAACACCTCATTGTCCGAGTGGCAGAGACAGAACTGGCAGTGGATGTCAGTGAAGAGGAACAGCACACTACATATACTTTCTACATAGTTATCACACTGTTGGATCAGGCCACAAGTTATATTTCATACACTTGATTTCAAATATGCTAGATATCTACATAAACAACTATTATTCAACCAGCTCCTACGTGGATGTATCGAGTTTTTCACCATCCTGTGGATCCACCTCTGCGCCTTTGTCAAGAAGGATTCGAACAATGTCGGAATGGCCTCTCGCAGTTGCTGCCTGGAGTGCATTTCCATATTGTCCTCCCTGTGCATTCACATCTGCACCTTTGTCAAGAAGAATCTGAACGATTTTGGAATGGCCTGTCACAGTTGCCACCTGGAGTGCATTTCCAAATTCCCCTCCCTGTGCATTCACATTGGCACCTTTGTCAAGAAGGATCTGAACAATCTCAGAACGGCCTCCCCACGCTGCTGCTTGGAGTGCATTTCCATAATATCCTCCCTGTACATGTACATCTGCACCTTTGTCAAGAAGGATCTGAACAATCTCGGAATCGCCTTCTGCAGCTGCTGCCTGGAGTGCATTTCCATATCTCCCTCCCTGTGCATTCACATCTGCACCTTTGTCAAGAAGGATCTGAACAATCTTGGAATGGCCTCCCCATGCTGCTGCCTGGAGTGCATTCCCATATTGTCCTCCCTGTGCATGCACATCTGCACCTTTGTCAAGAAGGATCTGAACAATCTCGAGATGGTCCCAGTAGGCAGCTGCCTGGAGTGCATTTCCATAGTGCCCTCCCTGTGCATTCACATCTGCCCTGTTGTCAAGAAGGATCTGAACAATCTCAAGATGTCCTCCCACAGCGGCTGCCTGGAGTGCATTTCCAAGGTACCCTCCCTGTGCATTCACATCTGCCCTGTTGTTAAGAAGAATCTGGACAATGTTGGAATGGCTTCCCGCAGCTGCTGCCTGGAGTGCAGTGCTGTAATATCCACCCGGTACATTCACATCTGCACCCTTGTTAAGAAGAATCTGAACAATGTCGGAATGGCCTCCCGCAGCTGCTGCCCGGAGTGCAGTTCCGTAATCTCCTCCATTCACGTCTGCACCTTTGTGAAGAAGGATCTGAACAACTTCGGGATGGCCCCCCGCAGCTGCTGCCTGGAGTGCAGTTCCGTAATATCCACCCTCATTCACGTCTGCACCTTTGTGAAGAAGGATCTGAACAATTTCGGGATGGCCTTCCCCAGCTGCTATGTAGAGTGCGGTTTCATCATTCCTTGCATGCAAATTCACATCTGCACCTTTGTCAAGGAGGAGCTCGCATATATCCCTGTGGCCATAATATGCCGCAACAGCCAGTGCTTCAGTGTCAGCATATTCTCCACCGTATTCCAAGAGATGACTCGCTATCTTCACCATATTGGCTGAGGCTGCAATCCATAAAGATGAGGGAGAGTTAGGCCAAGAATCAAAGGTCCATGGAGGAGACTGCCATTCCCATGAATCCTGCTGTTCATCATATGTCTTGGCTTTTTTCAGAAACTCTATAATGGTATCTCTCAACTCCTCTTCACACAATTGTGCATGTGCCAGACAGTATTGGCAGTATTCAAAAAGTGGTGGCCTGTGATTCCCATCAATGGTGAATTGCTCAAATTGCAAATATGTTAGCAAGCTCTGTGTGATTCTGACATGTGGGTTTGCAAGCTCCCTAGTTTGGATTTCATCGAGATATTTCTGGGTAGTAAAGTGGACAAGTCGGACCAAAGAACTGTGTTCTTCCACGATTACCAGACCAGCACAGACAGAAAGGATAATAGCAATATCAGTGATATTGTGCTTGTTCAATCGTTTTGTTCCTGGCTCAATGGCTAAAGCCTCACATAGCTCTACACTGGTCAGAGGTCTTTTTGCGTTGGCAACCCAGATAAGTGCTGATTGTGCAAGATCCTGTCGGTTTTGGGGGAAGGTGTTGATGCGGTCCATGATATTCTTATATGTGTGGTCCAAATCATTTGGTAGATCTTGCAAAGCCTGTTGAACTTCCTTTATATTGGTTGCTGCGTGCAATGCATCAACATGAAGCTTGGCAAGCAAGAACCTGATAGGGTGACCAATTAAATGATTTCCTCCAACTAATACAACACTTACATTCCCCCAACAGTATTACTGATTTTTGAACAAATTTGCTCCTTCAACCCCGTCTCCTTGTTGACATGCTGAGACAGGTGACTAGACAACTGGATTTGTGCCTCTACATATGCCTCAATGTCTCTCTGCATTGCACGGATTTCAAGAGTCACAGGGTTTAAAAGCAGCGGACTTGGAGAAATATGGGGCCTTGACAGGACCAACAGTTTGATGATAAGCCCCAGGCCAGTCAAGTCTTTGGCTAGTATACCCCACTGATTCTCTGGGTATTCATCAACCCCGTCGAGAATAATATAAACCTGTGTGAACCTGAGAAGTGCCAAAGATAAAAGTGTCTGAATGTCCTTGTATGAGGGCCTTGTCTTCTTTTCAGCATGTTTCTGATACAGCTCATGCGCAGAACCAAGAGGTTGGTCTGGGATAAGCTGTCTCCAAAGTCCTGCAAGAAGATTGTCCGGGGTTTGGACGTGGGTCTCCTTGTGGTTGAAGTAGATGCATGCCACTCCAATATTCTTGCTTTGGAGGGCACTTAGATGGTCTACTACAAGAGAGCTACAATCATATACATGAGCGGAACTCAATCAATGGAATTGGGACTTACGCAAGAACAGTCTTCCCAGCACCAGCTATACATATTATTCAGGCTGAGACACTAATAATATACTGATGTTACACACGTATTCCTGAGCACCACAGAATTCCTCCAGTGCTTGATTTCCACTGCTTGAACTTGGGGTCATTGAGCAGCCATTCACCAGTTCCTGACTGTCGGTTCTTGGAAATGTCCTGTTGTCGAACAAAGAAATTGATTGGGGACAACCATTCAATTATTGTATTCCGTTTGGCAGCTGAAAAATGTTCAACATCTGAATGGACAAAAAATCCTGGCAATCACCATCCATTTGATCCCTGGAAGCGATACAATCAGAAGAAAACCTGCACAAGAATCCACCCAACATACCAGAACTCCAATATCAACCAAGAATTAATCTGGCTTTTGAGTTGCTCAAGCTTTTTGACATCGTCATCTGTCTTCTTTTTCTTGCTCATTGACCATTCCACTCTTTTTTTGAGTTTTCCAATTGACCCTTCCCCCGGTTGCAACCTTTCAGTGAGGTCTTGCACATCCTTGCACAAGTTTGTCAACGGACCCGCCATCTGCCGGAGAACACCCGCGGATGGATTGGCAATGATGCGGCGACGGAGCTCGTCCAGAAGTAGTTTGAAATCCTCCATCTCCGTCAGTAGTTTCTGCTGTTCCTGTGGTGCTTTGTGTGCATCCTGAATGACTTGTTTCACCTTCAGCGCAGTACTCAGAAGACTGAGTCCGGCGTCGACGATCCCTAGTACCTCAGCCATGGTGGGAGACGACAAGATGCGAGAGCTGACTGTGCTGTCAAATTTGTGTCACTTGACTGACAGCTTTCTGACGGCCTCCATGCCGTTCTGATAGAATTACAATGGTGCTATAGATATAAATCTCAGAGCTGTTGAGACTGGTGCTGTCGAGCTTGGCTGATTAGGCTACCATATATGGAACTCCACTCGGACTCGGCTCGAGCCGACTCCAAGCCCATCGATCAGCCCGAAATCGCCGACGTCGGATTTGGTCGGCTAACCGCCGACAACTTGCCTTTGTCAAGTGCTTTCACGCCATTTCCTTCGCTACACGGCATTCCGCCCTCAAATTGCATCGAGACTCTCTGGATTGTCTCATAGACCTCTCCTACATCTTTCCTCTATTCTACCCCAGCCACAAGCCTCATCAGGAAAGACCTCCTTTGGCAATACCCCAGTATTGCCCCGAAGTTCGACCAAATTAGCAAAAATATTCGTGATTGCCATGATTAGGTTGCTAGCAACGTTCAAAATAACTTGGCGCCAAGTTGGACCGAAATTAGCCGGATTACCCGGTATTTTCCGCGTGGTTTCTGTGTCATTTCCTCACAGTTGGCGCCCAGAATTTCCCAATTATCCACTTCGAATGTACGGAATATGACGGGGGGTTGATTCAAAAATAAATAAACTAGGACAGAAGTTTGGCAAGCATAATAGACACAATAGTCGACGCGGGTATACGAGACGAGCCCTAATCATCAGCCTCGGGGACATCGAAAAGTTGGATCAGTGTCGCCGAGCTTCCGGAGGTGGTGTGGGCAGTTTTGTTGGCGGCGCTGTAGAAGGAGTTAAGTAACCTGAGAATGTACCCCATAAATAAGATGAAGTACGCACCTAACGTCGTTGAAGAGACCATGCATGATCCTGTGCACGGATAGCGGAGCCTT